GTTTATTCGGCAGCCACGCCCTCTCCAGAGCCCGGGATCAGTGGGCAACCTGACACCGGCTCCCGCGGCGGCCAAGCCCGCGCCCGCCCTCGCCGCGACCCGGCCCGGCTGGCCGCCTGCCCTCGGCCAGCCCCTGGGGCGCGTGGGAGGAGAGCAGGCCGGGCCTGGTGTCCCCATCCCACGACCTAGGGCAGAGTCCTCGGAACAAAAAGGCCCGGCCGGGCCAGGCCAGGCCCCGGCCCGCTCCTCCCGCCCCTCCCCTGACGGGCGCACGTGCGAAGCCTCGTGCAGGACGCTGGCCCCGCCCCTGCCCCCCCATTGGCTGCCCCGCGCCTTCCCTCCCCTCCCCCCGCAGCTAGACTCGGCTGCAGCTCCACGTGACCCGCGGGGCCGGCCGCCGCTCGCAGCTCCGCCTCCCTCTAGTGGCGCGTCCTGGAGGGCTGAGAGTGGGACCAAACGGAAAGGAGGCCGCGGTGGTCTGGGAGAAGGGCGAGGGTTAGGAAAAGAGAAGCGAGAGGGACGTGATTGGCCGCGCAGGAAGCGGCTGCTGCCGAGGAAGGCCCATGGCACAGATATTTAGCCCGCGCCAATCACGAGTCTGGGGCGGGCGGGGCTGCGCTCCTCACCTGGCTCCGCACGTGTCTTGCTCTCCCGGCTGTCTGGCCAATCCCGCCTCGCAAAACTGTGCCCGCCTCCCATAGGATAGACCAATTAGGAGCCACGCTCTGGGGCCGCCAGCCGGGCCTCATGAATAATGAACGCCCCAGAGTCAGTCGGCGGGCGGGGCGCGAAGGAAGGGAGGCGGGGGTGCGGCGGCGCGCTTGCGCAGTGCCGCTCCTGTCGGCAGCTGCGGCAGGTCGCTCGGCTCCGGCCCATCTCGGGGGGCGGGCGGGGGAGGCGAGGCGGGCGAGCAGGGCACGGGGCACGATGTCCGACGCGGGCGGCGGGAAGAAGCCGCCTGTGGAGCCGCAGGCAGGACCGGGTCCGGGGCGCTCAGCTGGGGATCGGGGCCTGCCAGGGTCCTTCCCTCTGGTCCTGAAGAAGCTGATGGAGAACCCCCCGCGCGA